GGACACGGGCATCGACCCCTTTGAGAAGAGTCTGACCCTGGCCTCCGCCTGCAGTCGCGTACTATGTACACACTACCTGAAGAAAGACACTCTCGTCGTCATTCCTCGAGCCTTGATGCAAGAGCCGAAACCGGGTAAAGACTGACATCGCTTCCAGCCTCGACAACAGTCCAACAAAGCACTTCGATGGTTGGAATGGGAACAACATCGGCAGACCATGCCGCTTTCCGAAACCAGACCCCTCTACCAAACATTCGACACGCCCGCAATGGTAGTGAATGCCGAGTCGGCCCTTACAGTTTGGATGGTATGGAAACGACCACCGGTACAGTGTACGAATTTCACGGCTGTGCCTTTCACGGTTGTCCCAAATGTTTTCCGGGCCCCGTCCAAGACGTTCAACATAAACATCCCTACGATCCCTCTCGCAGTATGAGAGACTTGTACCAGAAGACCCAAGAACGTCACCGTCGACTCCAGGAGCAGTACGGTATGCAGACCATCCGTGCCATGTGGGAGTGTGAGATGGAGGAAGAACGACGCCATGATCCCGAGATGGACGAATTTCTGAGCGGATTGGAAGATCAGCAATGGCCGGCCCCCGAACCTCTTATGCCCCGCAACGCTTTCTTCGGTGGAAGAACGAATGCCATTCAACTGTTGGTCAACGAGTCGGCCGAAGACATGCGCTACATCGACGTGGTGTCTCTCTACCCCTACATTTGCAAGTACGGTACATTTCCCATCAAGGAACCCACGATCGTCACACAGCCCGACCAAGACCAGTGGCAGCAGTACGAAGGGTTGATCCAGTGTTCGGTTTTGCCGCCTCGTGGCCTGTACCACCCGGTGCTCCCTTTTCGACGCAAACAGAAATTGGTGTTTGCCCTGTGTCGAAGCTGCGTCGACGAACACATGCAACAAGGAGAGATTGCCGAATACCAACCTTGTGATCACACTGATGAACAGCGAGCCTGGGTCGGTACGTTTGTCACCCTGGAACTCAAGAAAGCGGTGGCTCTGGGATACCGCGTATTGAAAGTGTACGAAGTCTGGCACTGGAAACAATTCAGCACCTACGATCCCGAGGCCAAAACGGGAGGTTTATTTACCGGTTACATCAACCACTACCTGAAGAAGAAGATGGAAAGTAGCGGTTATCCCGACACCTGTCACACCGAAGAAGATAAGACCCGCTTCGTGAACGACGTGTACGACACCGAAGGTATTCGCCTGGATCCCGCGTCCATAAAACCCAACAAAGGTATGCGGGCGTTTAGTAAGCTTCAATTGAACACAGCGTGGGGATAATTCGGACAGAGAGACAACTTTCCCAAGACCGAATACATCACGGAACCCAGCGACTATTTTGAGAAAATGTTGGACAAACCATTGCACCCTACCTGGATTTGATGAAAAGGGTGGCCGTCTTAAACACCAGGGAAGACCTGGACCTCCCTTTCCACGACTATATTAATGGGTACAACCTGTATTGTTTTGGTTTGACCAACGACCACGGAGCCGACGGCAACTACTTTCATCTGAAAGAGACAGGTGAACTGAATTTGGAACTCAAGTTCGGTACGGCCCCGACAAATCACCTCAGTCTTGTTCTGTTTGCCGAATACGACAATGTCTTGGAAATCGACCACTTACGAAATGTCATCACCGATTGGTGAGGCTCTCTCCAACCGACAACTGACACGAGCTTTAAAAAAACATCTCCCCGCTCCCATTTTCGGAGGTGTATGGGCTCGTAATCACCTGGATATACTGTACCCGACCTCGTACCCCAAAGCCTACGTCATCAACACGGACGACGAAGACCAACCGGGCAAACATTGGACCGTGTTTGTGTGTGAAGGGCCAAATCACGTCACCTTCTTTGATTCCTATGGTTGCCCCCCTGATATCTATGGAGACGCCTTTCGACGTTTCGTTCAAGATCAACAACTCGACTACCAACCCAGATGGATTCAAGGACTCGACAGTGTCGTGTGCGGACATTATTGCTTGTATTTTCTGTGTCATCGATTTCACGTTCCTTCCCCATATCCCCTTTCCGTTTTCGGTCGCGTGTATCGTTTAAACGATATACTCGTCGAACAATGGGCTAGGGATCATTTTCCCAACTTGCAAGAGGAACAGAAGAAGGGTCAACGATGTCGATGCTTTTTTGCTCTGTAAATATGTTTTTTGTAAGTTTCTTTTGTCATGATAACTTTGTAAGTTTTGTTCAATAAAATGTCGACAACATATCACGTGTCTGTTTTTCTTGTGACGTCATGCTATTCTGATTGGTGAAAAATGGTATCGCCCCAACACATTAGACTCGTCCCGTCCCGAGCCATAAATATACTATTCAAAAAAAGTAGGGGATATTTGATTTTGGGGGCATAATACTAAAATATGCAAATGACTACGAAAAAAGTCACTATAGAACCTAACAGAAGAAACATTTCCAGTTACATGTGACGCCCAAACGCACCAATAGCTACCGCATGGAATGCAGGTGATGCTTGGGATCATCATGGGGTCCAACCCAAGATTTGCACGACTCTGACTTTGAATGTTACAGTCATTGTGGCATTGAATTCCAGGGTGGAAACATCAGTTTAATTGTTTTAGTGACCAGAAAACAAATTTTGATATGCGTCGGCTTACCCAAAATGAAAGGTTACGTGCCCTTGGCATGCTACAGATCGGCACAACACAGGCGGTTGTGGCGCGGACGATGAATGTTTCTCAGTCTGTCATAAGCAGGCTATGGTCCAGATACCGTGATACACAATCTGTACAGGACAGACCACGCTCAGGTCGACCAAGGGCGACAACTCAAGCCCAGGATCGATTTATCCGTACCTTGGCCTTGAGAAATCGTGTCATCATAGCAAATCAGATCAGCGCTCGTCTTCAAACAGACACTGGTGTGAGAGTGAGTGGCCAGACGATTCGGAATCGACTGCATAGGGGTCACCTTCGCGCCCGACGTCCTCGCGTGATCCCTTGTTTGAGAGATCATCACATTCGGGCAAGACGTCGTTGGTGTAGGGATCGTCAACACTGGGATAATCGACGCTGGAGCAATGTGATGTTTTCAGATGAGTCAAGGTTCACTGTTGATTTTTTGGACAGACGTAGGAGGGTGTGGCGTCGTCGAAACGAGCGCTTCCAAGACGTTAACGTCATCAGACATGATCGATTTGGGGGTGGTTCTGTTATGGTGTGGGGAGGCATCACTGTTGCTGGAAGAACGGCTTTACATGTTGTTGCAGGGCGTGTTACAGGCCAGTACTACCGGGACAACATCTTGGCAGTCCATGTTGTGCCGTTCGCACGACGTCATGGCCGCCGTTTCATCTTCCAGGATGACAACGCAAGATGTCACAGGGCCAGGATCGTTACAGGTTACCTCCAACAACAGAACATCACCACATTACCTTGGCCAGCACTGAGTCCCGACCTCTCCCCCATCGAGCATGTCTGGGACATGCTTGGACAGAGGTTACGTCAACGTCAACAACGACCTGCCAATGTCCAAAAACTTGCTGCTGCGTTGCAACAGGAATGGGACAATCTGGACCAAAATGACCTTAAGACGTCTCATTAGGAGTATGCCACGTTGGATCAATGCTTGTTTGGCAAACAGAGGAGGATTTACCCGTTACTGACTTGGTTGTGATGCTGTGGTAACTTTGCTGTTTGACCCCGGGTATCATTTTACCCTTATAATGGTCAGTCTGTGCCTTACTTAGTCTAACGATCATTTGGAATAAATCGATGAATGTGAACTTCATTTCATTTTGTCATTTGTTTCTTCGTCAGTTTCATTAGGTGACTTTAATAACACTTAAAAATCAAATATCCCCTACTTTTTTTGAATAGTATAGGAGTGTCAAAGCCAGAGATGTCACAAGCAAAATGGATCGAAAAGATCATCGATTTTGCACAACTTGTGGGAGTATTACCCTATGTTTAGGGGTAATCGGCCGGATGCCGATTACCTTGTCTGTTTGTGGTGTGGGACAGAAATTAGGAACACATGCCATAGACGGAGCAAACACTTGCACAAATGCTCGAAAAAACCCAATCGGTGGGAGCAGCGGAAGTGTTGTTGTTAGACGAGAGACGAAAGGCCCTTTTCAGGGCCAACTTATGCAATGTAAAAAGAGTTGTTTCCCCTTCTTCTGCTCTCTTCTTCTTCTTTCTTCTGCTCTCTCTCTCTCTCGCTCTTCCCGCGCCCCTTTTCTCGAACTAGGTCACGGGGTCACACACGTGCAGGGGGTCATCCAGTGCAAGGTCACACACGTGCAAGGGGTCACGCACCTGCAAGGGGTCATCCAGTACAAGGTCACGCACGTGGAAGGTCAAGTGCATGCGCATTCACGCACATGCACGCGCATGCGTGCGCAGAAAAAAGTTCCTGAACAGGCCCCATAACTACTACATTTTACCATTGGTACACGAATCGTGTACCATAATGCGTTTCAGTGTCATTTGTAACAAATAAGAGACTCGACATATTCCACAAGTCATGGTTAGATCTATTTGATAAGGCCAACTTCAAATTTGGTCAAAGGTGACGAGATGTAAACAGAGCTAGCGCTAATCCCAATCCTAAACCTGGAACTAGCCCTAATGCTTACCCTAACCCTAATCTACAATCTGCCAACAATCACGTGCCCTAACCTTATTTACATCCCAGCGACCTTGACGAAAATTGAGCTGGCCTTAACAAATAGATTTAGCCGAACCAATCAGGAGCCATAATCCAGGAAATTGTGGTCCAATACGCACAAATATCGACAGGAAACAAGATCTTTTAGGTTTTTAACATAATTTTAAGTTTCATCAAAAACTGTCACCTGTACTAGGGTGTCCACAAGCTAAAAACATGATTTTTCGTACAATCAGGGTCCATAGGCCTAATCCATGAAGCTACATGCGTAGCTGTTCATTAGAGTTAGCTTAATGTTTTGGCCGATCAGTTACATGATGGTTTAAACATATTTTATTGCCAATAATTTACAAAGGGATTAGTACAAGGCAATAGCATAGTCTCGATTATCTATTTAATCGTTTAATCGAGAAGGAAAGTTATGCAGTAAATCGGCTCACAATCCACTTAAGATCGCAGGCTAGCGATGCCATCTAGAGTTGATTATAGTCTGGATAAGTTAATTAATGTCTAATTAATAATTTTTCAGGCCTAAAGAAAGACCTGCAATAGACAGATTTAGCTCTTGCATAATGTATGTTTAAAGCTATAGTAAGGGCCTTCTGGAGCTACTTCTTATCTGACATCTGCTTGTTTTTGGAGGAGGCACGCTGGTGTATACAAACATGGCGGATGGACAAGACGTTGATGGAATTGACAACAATCCTACATCAAATATACACTAACGACTAACAGACATTTTTATGGCCTCATATTTAATGTGGACATAATTATATTGTTGTCACCTCTGTCCAACATTCTACAATTCCTTGTGTACAACATTAGAGTCTACATTTTTCATCCCATTTTGATGCAACTTTGGTATGTGGATTTGCATGCATGAGATCTCAGATTATTTGATATATAAATGCCACTCAAAAACAGCATGTGGGCTAGTTAACAGCATTGTTTTAGACTTATTTGTTTAAATTTACAAAAATTTTATGATAATGTTAATACAGTGATATAATATTCTTAACATAGATTTTAACATTGAGTGAAACCAGGCATATGATTCTCTTATTTGTACTTAAAATACAATACTACCATATTGTCGCTAATACTACAATACCACCTATATATGCACAAAGTCTTAATAAGTCTGCTTCAATGTATAGGCTTCAGTCTGTTAATACAATGCGTTTAGAACTTGGCTCATATCCATTATGTAGGACTCAATAATTAGTCTTCAGATTTCAACTTAGTGGACCAATGAAAACAATCACCCATGATTTCTATCTAAATTGGGCAATGGTTAATGCCAGTGATCAATGTGGGCATCTGAAATTTTAAAATTTTTATGAACTATCAGATGAGCAGGGGGATTGGGTGGCTGAATGGTTAGCACGCGCGCGCTGTATCATACGGTCTGTCATTGAGTCAACTGGCGGGGTTTCGATTCCCTGTTTGTACGTGGCAAGGAGTAGGGTCGCCTGTCCAACATCGTGGGTTTTCTCCGGGTCCTCTGGTTTCCTCCCACTTATAAAAACCCCTACGAGCAAGCGAATTATTGAAATAAAATTGAACGATGTGTTAGTCCCAAGATGACCCATTTCTCTCTCTCTCTCTATCAAATGAGCATGGTAGGCCAACCTTATTACATGTTGCTAGCAGAAATTTTTTGACCATTTTGCAAAAAACCAGGGAAGGTTATTTTAGAATGTAGATCACTGCTGAATTTCTGGTTAAATTGGGATGAAAAGACAATCATTCTTGAAAACAACCTCAAGCAGTGACAGTTAAAATCATCTTAGCATGTGTTAGACTGTCAGCAGCCTGCACCACCAATCCATCAAACATTTATATGTCCTCTAGGTTGAAACAATATAACAAAAAACATGCTACCAAAGAAAGTGAGCTCTGTTGAACCAATATAGGCTACCATAAAAGACAGACTATAATGGTGTATCTAACCTCATCTGGTTGAGTATATACTTTGTTGGGTTGGATTTTATATTTATTTTTTTGCTGGTGGGGGATTTAATATAATAAATTTAATAATAATAGTATATTTCTTTAATGTACAAGATAAGTTATATAGTGCCTCTTACATCAGGAGTATTTAGCCCCAACATATTTCTGATACATAGCATAGTCTTTGTCTGTTGGTGGACCAGCACCATATTTTCCTCTCTCTATATATGAATGGTAAATATCTTTAGAATGTCGACTAATTGGTGGAATTTCAACATGGAATGAACTGTCAAGTTTGTAAGCACTAATTGGAAATCTGTAACAAAAGACGCAGATTCTCCAAGTAATAAGACTGTACTAAACACTAAACTGATTAGCCAGACAAATTTACAATTTATAAATATACATCCAATTAGAACAAAATGAAAACCTGTTTATACTTCCACTTTTAAATTACTGACACCTCACCCCAGCTGTGTTAAACTTAAAATGAATGAAAATAATACAACTTACAATTCAATAGATGGTATAAGTTGAGAACATGGGGACTGTTCTCTTGTCTCTTCTAATTGGTCATTTACACTTCCTAATTCAACGTACCTTTATAATTTCAAATATTTGAATTGGATCAAAAAGACAAAGCTACATTTTATCAAAAGAAGATATAATATATTCTTCAAAAAAAGTAGGGGATATTCAGAAACAATATAAAACTGCGGAAATGCACTGCTGTTTTTATTAGAGGTAACCAGTGTATGTTCATAACAGGCCAATTGCCTACACATGAACATAAACAGTTCATATGGGCGGCTTATCTGACGGTCCCATTTCACTCTCAAAGAGATACACTGTCAAAAGTGAAAATGGACGTTTTTGATTTTTGTCTTAATAATGAGTGATAGCTCCACCAATCCTCAGACATAATTTATAAATCAATTCGTCGTGGCATGCTCCTAATCAACCGTCCAATCACGATTTGGGGCAATCTGGCACACTCCTCTTGCAGTGCCACGTCCAATCCATGCAGTGTTGTCGGTTGACGTTGACGTACACGTCTCCCAATCAAATTAAACGTAACACACTAAAACAAAGATACGCTAAACAGTAAATCTTATGCAAGAAGCGATAGGAAAGCAAACCAGCACGCGGTAGTTTTCATCAACCCTTCCTTGAAGTGTCAAATTTGACAATGAACCCCTCCCACATGTATGGCGCTATTGTGTGTCGCACATGCAGCTCAGTAGTTCTGTTGGGGCTATAAGTTCTTCAACTGTGAACATACTCTCAAAGCATGTCAAGTGTTCATGACTATTTATCATATCACAACCTGCATAGGTATTTGAATTTCAATATCCCCTACTTTTTTTGGAAGAGTATAGTTCAAAAATAGATTTACGTCAAATTTCTTTATTCTTAGAAATATTATGAGTGTATGAAATTTTGACAAGAAATAGCTGATTGTAAAGTACCATGAATGTCAGTCCTTTTATTGAGTGAAATCTATTTTAACATTAACCAATTATATGGTGTGTATGGTTTAATCCATTCATTATCTCGGCTATCCGATGGTCTAGAGAGTTAATTCTGGGCTTGTCATATCATGTAAATATATGTGTAATAATAATTTATATAACATTAGAAGTCAGACAAAAGACCTACAATAGACAGATTTAGCTCTTACATAATACATAATACATATTTCCACCATGGTCCTAATCCTACCAACCATCCATCATGTGTAAAAATCTATTTAAAGTTAACCAAAACATCATATCTTTCCATATACTTCACAGGTAGCCCATGTGCACTTTCTAATGTAACCACCATTCTGTAGTCAATTTATACAACAAATGGATGGATGTGGTTAGCAGGAAATAGAACCAACAGTGGTTTATCCTGGCCATTAGCAGCATCCTATTTCCTTATATAAATCACTTTAGAGAGTCAAACATATCATCTAATTATGCTTGCAGGAATATATCTTTATTGGTGAATATTTTTAGGGACAAGATTTACTGAGATTTTTATCTCAAATTATTTAACCGACCTTTCATATAACTTCTGGTTACGTTTGGTTGGTTCAGTAATATCAGTTCTATATACTTGCTTCATTGATGGAAAAAGATCCTATTAGCAATGAAAATTAAAGAAAAAAAAATATGCATTGATATTTGCCATTTATACAGAGTTAAAAACAAGTTGGTTGTGGTTGTTCCTTTTTGAGTTCCTGTTTGTGGTAACAGAATAACAATTTAGCTAACTTAATGTAAATCCATGAGCCAAAAATCATGCAAATATTTGTTCTTTTATACCCATTCCACTAAAGACATTTTAAGGAAACATTTGGATGAATGCATACTACATTGTGGTTGCTCCCCATCCTGCCCCTGTCAAACACACCAATGGGCCATAATTATTATATTCATGTTTTAGCCACAAAATCTGTTATTTTACATCAATTAAAATACCAAATTTCCACAGCTTAATCCACACTAATATGTACTCAGATTGATTATTTAACATTTAATTGATAAAACAAAATCAAAATACCAATAAATTTTCATATACAACAAAATGGTGACGGGCTTATTATTACATAGCTAGCAGCATAGATCGATGAAATGTCAATTCCATATATCTTTGTATAAACTGGATCATCATTGGACTGATATTCCTATTAGAGAATCATCTTTCACAATATTGTAGTATGCAAGGGATTCGTATACAGGGCCGTAACTAGCTCAGAGCAACGAGAGGGGCGGCAAGTGTTCTCAGGGTTGTTGTAAAATTGACGGACAATGTATATCTATTGTTTTTATTGTCAACAATTTTGTCACAGGTGGGCAAAATGTTTTGCCCCCGCCCCCAGTTACGGGGCCTGTTCATATAACACTAAATGATGGATCAAGACTTTAATTATAAATGTTATGAATAATAACTTGATAACATACTGAAAAAGATGTGTAGCTTAAATCGATATCACTGTCATCAGAATTAGATGTTTCAGATAAACATACTTCTCCTTCTACATCTGAGTCCTCACTACTACTAGTACTACCTTCTGATCCTACTGATGTTGTAGAATCTTTACCACTCACATTAGGGTTCTTATTATTGGATCTAGAATCAGCACTGTTATAAAACAAAGATCAGTTTCAGGCAACAAAACAAATAAAGTTAAACAAAGGATCAGATGTCAAATCCAGGGGTTATAACTCATCAGAAATATTTCACAATTGATACACTTCTTCATCTTAAATAATATCATCTAAATTCTTCGAAATCGAAAACACAAATAATTTGTCAATTTAAATGAACATTGATGCTGTGATCTTACCGGGTAAAGATGGGCTTCTGATATCTAATATTAAGAAAAAATAAACATTTTACCATTGGTACACGAATTGTGTACCATAGTGTGTTTTAGCGCAATTTGTAACACGGGACTCGAAGAACGAGGTTAGACATATTCCACCAGTCATGTCAAACGGTGACGACATGTTCTTATCTGGAGAGCATGCGCAATAAATACTATCGGTGTGGACTGGAATAACCAGACGCTAGAGATTGCCATTCGATTGAGACTTCTGGCGTATTTCGCCGCACATAACTGATTTGAAATTAGAGTAAAATGGAAACGGTTGAATGTAAATCAGTTCGTATACATTCATATTACATTATTATATGTGTTGGTCCCAAATATAAGCGATTTAGCTCCTTTAAAAAAAAATTAAAGTTCTGGAATGGTGTAATGTTAACAACTAATTAGAAACCCAAAAGAGAATTATTTGGACAAGACAAATCACACATTCCACACCCACACCCACATAGTATTTCAAGTAGCAAATAATAAAATAACTACGAAATAAACTGAATGGATTAATGGATTAGTGCACTGATTACTAAATAACATAAACATAATAAAATCTAGTTAGTGATCTGGAGGGATTACATATGCACTACCAATTAAAAAAACATATCAATTTTCTTTATAGACTGACATTAAGATCTATTTCATAATACTCAACCCCATAAAGCATGAGTCAATTTGTTGTAATTCTATTAAACTCACTTTAAACCAGTTGTTTCACTTGTTTGGTTTGAAATTACTCGAACAGAAAATGGACTGATGTCTCTTGCTCCCTTCGGCATGATGTTTCTACAAGGACATAAGCAGACATAAAAGAATTATTAATTTTCTTTCCAAACACATTTTGAGAAATCCTTGAAAGCAATCATCTTTTTTCTACTAAAGCAGTTGTATTTTTGAAAATGTCTATTTAAAAACGTAAAGATACAAAGAGTATAAAAAATAAAATATTAGATACAAAAAATAATTCTTTTCTTCAAGTCTTTACACTTAGGAGATTTCATCAACACTGATGTTGTAAGACTTTGTTCCAGTACATGAAGCCTTGCTAATATAATCATAATATCACACAGACATATCTAAAACTCATTAAAGGTAAAGTTGTGGTAAAAACATGCTTCTGGTTAAGGTTAAATAAAAAATAATTCAGGAAGTTACAGTCCGATATGCGCGAATATCGTACGGAACCGAGATCTTTGGGTTATAAACTTACATTTCAAGTTTTAACAAAATCGGATAAAAATTGTGACCTCTATAGGGTCCACAACCTCGATATACCATATTTTTACACTATTTGAGAATGAAGGGCGGCCATTTTGTCTGTCAGTTTTGGGCCGATTTCCACGAAATTCGAACTCGACCGTCCTTAGGGTGTAACGGTGATATAATAAAACGTTTTTTTTAATCGGATAAAAATTATGACCTCTATAGGGTCCACAAGATAAAAACGTGATGTTTTCGTACAATGAGGGGCCATAATTCAGGCAGTTACCAACGGATATGCACGAATATCATAAGGAACTGAGATCTTTGGGTTATAAACTTACATTTCAAGTTTTAACAAAATCGGATAAAAATTGTGACCTCTATAGGGTCCACAACCTCGATATACCATATTTTTACGCTATTTGAGAACAAAGGGTGGCCATTTTGTCTGTCAGTTTTGGGCCGATTTCCACGAAATTCAAACTCAGCCGTCCTTAGGGTGTAACGGTTCTATAATAATACGTTTTTTTAAATCGGATAAAAATTATGACCTCTATAGGGTCCACAAGCTAAAAACAAGATGTTTCGTACAATCAGGGGCCATAATTCCGGAAGTTAGGGTCCGATATGCGTGAATATCGAAAGGAACCGAGATCATTGGGTAATCAACTTACATTTCAAGTTTCAACAAAACCGGATAAAAATTGTGACCTCTATAGGGTCAACAAGCTAAAAACGTGATTTTTCGTACAAACAGGGGCCATAATCCATGAAGTTTCGATCCGATACATGCCAATATCGAAAGCAGCCGAGATCTTTTGGGGATAAACCTATATTTCAAGTTTCGTCAAAATCAGATAAGAATTGCGACCTGTAGAGAGTCCACAAACAATTGTGGACGGACGGACGTCCAGAAATACGGACGTCCGGACGGACAAGGGCGACGACAATATACGTCCACATGAAAATGTGGGCGTATAAAAATTCATCAGTGGTTATCAGAAATCATTAAAAATCAACAGGATTCTTGGTCTTATGTAGTTAAAATCTGTGCATTAAGTCAATCTGAATATAAATATAGCCTCTAGAGCATCTACAAGATTTAAAAAATTGGTCAAGGACCATATAACTTGGATTGTAATTATCAGAAATCATTGAAATTAAATAGGATCCTTCGTAAATGTAAACATTCCGTATAAATTTCATGTCAATTGTATAATAACTAGAGAGTCCATAACCAATTGTTGACAACACACAGATGAACAGACGGGGCCAACAACAATACATGACCACATGCCAATATCATAATAATTCTTTCTGTTTTTCTAGACTGTTCTGATTAAAGGCTCAATACCACTCTTGTTGTATGTAACTCAATAATATGTCCCAATCTTTATTCTGGTCAACAAATTGTTCTATTTTACAATATTCCAATTAATTGATGATACAAATTTCATCTTAACACACCTAATTTAAAACACTAGAAAAATTCAACTAAATGATTTGAAAAGCCTGACGTAAAGCTTTTCAAATGTGACTTGGATTTAAAAATATTTTTGAACCCTCTGGACAAGTAAAATAGGATTTAATGGATAATTTACACAACAGGTAGGACACTAAAACATCTAGTACTTAGAATAAGGCTATTTTTTTATTTTCTGGAGCTGTCATGACAGCAAGAGTGTTATTGTCCCTTTAAATGGTATATTCCTTTCTTTATAGCGTTAATAACTGCAAAATTATATATCTAGACATGTATTGTTTAGCTTATTTTTCTTTTCAATATTATTTTATTAAGCTTTATAATAACATGCCTAATAGAGCTAGAATGTTTATAACAAGTTAATTCTTCTAATACTGTGAATGTCCACGGTTTATAATATTCAGCAAATTCATTCAGTCTTTCATCACTGTCATTACTTTCTACCATTAAAAACAATTCTTCTGTTGTTTTCATTTCTAATAAAAGAGAAAATATGTACTGATGACATGTTAGTTTACCAGTATTTTTATAAATTGAATGTCACGCTTAAAATAGAACAATCAATGCTCCTGTGCATCAACATATTTTTGTCACTTTATTCATCGATTTCATTTGATCACAACAACATGGAGGTGTCATTTAAATCTACACATTAAATCTATTCAACAAATGTGTTGCTTAAAAAACAGGACCTCCAGTATATACAATTGCATATTTTGTTATAAGTTGTTCTGAGCTGTTTGTTAAGAATGGGGGGGGTGGATGGCCCAATGGTTAGCATGTGCGCACTGTATCTTAAGGTCTGTCATTGAGTCAACTGGCGTGGTTTCGATTCCCCGGTTGCATGTGACAAGGAGTAGGTTTGCCTATCCAACCTCAAGGGTTTTCTCCGGGTCCTCCGGTTTCGTCCCACTGCTAAAAGACCCCTACGCACAAGTGAATTATTGAAATAAAATTGAACCATATTATGTTAGTCATGAAATGACCTAGTTTGTGTGAGGGGAGGTTAAATCCCATTTCGCTTTCTCTCTCTCTCTCTCTTGTTAAGAATGGAGAAACAGCAGATCGCCCAAAAAATTTGTTTTAATTTTAAAGCTACTGAATTGAAAATGGTACAACTAGTTAGGAAATGTAATAAACAAGGGAAAGTTGTTGCCAGGGTAATACATTTCTAAGGAAAAAGTATAAAAAAATGTAGGTACACCACATCTCTGTAACTAATTAAGATAGCTTCACCAAATTTTCAGGATATAGAAACAAACATCTACAACGGAATCAGACTAAAAGCAATTTGAATTATCATTAATATTTCAAAAGTTATCAAAATATTTCTCCAAAGACAAAATATTGTGGTGGGGCAAATATTTTGAACACCATTTTCCAAGAAACTACATGTATAAAAATTATAGAGAAAAATTCTGTCTGGTTTTAGAGTTATCATTAAAGAATAAGCAGTCCAAAAATGAGACATTTATCTTTATTAGTGTCAGAGATATGGTGTACCTACGTTTTTTCATACTCTTTCAAAAAAAAAATGTGTTACCTTGGCAACAAATTTAAAAAAAAAAATTTAATGTTAGTTTTTTCCTTATTTATTCCATTTCCTAACTACTTATACCATTTTCAATTCAATAGCTTTAAAATTTAAAAAAAAAAAACATTTTAAATTAAATAAAAAAATATTCTAGACCCACTTCTAGTGAAATCATGTCAATATCAATTACCTTCTTCACATGATAAAGGAAGATGTTGTATGATACATGTATCCCACCATTGAGAATATCTGTGAAAAAAATATATGACAATCACTATATGTTTACAGACAGTATCAAAAGAGGAAATTATTTTATAAAAGCAGTAGCATTTTAATCTATTCAAACACGATTAAATGTTCTCTGTTCTTTAAACATATAATTCAACATGCCAGCCCAAAGACGTTTTTTATGTGAAAGAGAGATAAGCTTCTAATCAATTATCTAGTGCCCTAATAATTAATTACTCTAAACTGTCTTGGGTTACCAAACAATGATCAACCCCAATTAGTGGCATATTATGTTCATTAATCAATAAGTTCTTTTACATGTACATATGCCTTATCATTTTTTTAATTGTATCATTTGCTTTGATAAAGGCTAAATAATCGTAGTCAAAACCTCACTCAGAAATCAATATTAAATATACATTATGCAAGAGGTAAATCTGCTTTTTGCAGGTCTTTCTTTAGGCCTCAAATGTTATACAAACTAATAATTAGACATTTATTAACAAAACAAGACCATAAACAACTCATGATGGCATCAGACACTTGAGATTGTAACTAGATTAGAAAGGTTCGCCTTTTAAAAATTTAATTTATAAATGGGATACCGGTGCCCTGGTTACCACTATGCACACATCTTGTCAAAAATACAAACAGTGATAACTTGGCACAGAACGAAGTAATTCAAATGAAATTTTCAATATTTTCATTTTATATTATCTATTTTTGAGCTATTATAGCCAGAATGGTCAGCTCTTCATCTAAATCTTACATAACGTATCTTTAATTGTATTCCATAGAGTTGTATCTTGAGTTAGTTTATCTATATTTGTAAAATTTCAAGTGCATGTATTGGAATTTTAAAACATGTTACTTAAAGGAGCCAAGTCTTTAACTCAATATCATCTACAGTCTTCGACATCACAAACACGACTTACTGGTCAGTTTAAATCAACATTGATATTGTTATCTTACCATGAAAGGATGGGCTTCTGATATCCAATATCAGGAAATTTTTGGCTAAGTGTTTCATGTGGGCACCCGTTTTCATCAACATTATTTTATCTAATTTGACTAATCTGTGCATGAGATGACTGGACACCAGTAATCTACTTCCAGAAATTGATGGTGACAGGAACTGTCAGGGAGTTGTCTAAGAAAGTTGAATCTTGCTAAATACCTACTTAGCCCAGTTTTTGTTGTCACCCATTTGTTTAACCACTTCAATATATTAAACACGGCACCTTTCACAGACAATGTCAGACACAGATTCAGGCACTAAACCTCTGCTGCTTGTCATTTTGTCTGATTTGTCTTTTTAATTGATATCATTAATACATGTCCGGCACTAAGTTGAAAATGTCAAGGAACTATTTCATCAGTGCCTGACATATTGTCAGGTACATCTAAAACCGTTATTTCCAGGCCTGATTTCATAGAACTAAAGTATGATCCTATCTTGCAAGAGGACTAATTCTTGATTATTTCATATGTGGCCCTTTATGTTTACATATTTTATCTCATGGTTTTTCAGATATTCTTATACAGATAATATATTATCAATAAGGGTACAAAAACTTACAATTTGTTTGTATTTCGGACAAGTTTTGTACAATTTCTATTATGTAAATAATAATCAGTAGATAATTCCCAGATATTCTGTTTATCCTCTTGTGGTGTAAACACTCCCAAAAATAAATTCATTGACTGCTGTTTCTCTAAATCTGTTAATTTTAAAAATCATCATTAAAATATACAAAAATGAGTAACGATCCTCCACAGGTGCTTGTGACTAATGACACTATACATATGTGTCCTTTAAGACCAGTGTGTTGGGGGGGGGGGATGGCCTAGTGGTCTAGAGTGTCCGGCTTCGACCTCTAGCTGGCTGGTCACCTCTGGCTTGCGGTTGTGATTTCGATCCCTGGTGTGAGCTTATGTGGCGAGGAGATAGATATATCGATTTGGTAAAAAGAAAATGTATAACTCAAACTAAAAATAATAAAATTATATTTAAAACAATACAAAGTACACAACTAAATTAGCACATTTACCATTTTAAAACTGATAAATAGCAGAGGCATAGCAGGGTGGGAGTAAGGGGGGGGGGGGGGGTAGTTGTCCCCTGGGTGCAGATGTGAAGGGGCAAACTCTGGCTATATTACCTGATAATCAATAATTTTACCCTCCACTTTTTCCAGATACAACAGTCCAAAATTATGACTCCTAGTGTGGATTCCAAATGAAATGTCTTTGACCCTGGGTACTGAGAACCCTTGCCACACCACTTGTTACAAATAACAAGAAAAATCATTGTAAAACATATAATTAGAACAGATACCTACCTGAAAAAGCATTACTATAATATCTAGACAAGGTCTGCATTATATCTCTGGAATGTTCCGTCCATGGAGCAATTTTACGATAACCTTTAATACGATGCACTAACTGTGATCCGCCATATTGTAGAGCTACTGTATCACCATGATCTTCATATAACATCTCTAGCATTCTGTATTAAAAAAAATAGTATCAAATACCCAGAAATTCAATTTCTCAAAAATATTTGAAAACTCCTATCATTGTAACAAAATTTACATAAAAAGGAGAGGGTGGGGGTAAATCGATAAGGTTCATTGTTAAAAACTCTAGACTGTATAAGATACATAGCACATTTGCGGTAGGTTTGTTAAGGAAAAAAGTAAATTGCATGTAAAGAAACGCATTTTCTGTAGTCTTTATATGTGTATCAGTTAGTTTCATCCATATAAATGTAACAAAACAGTGACAACATAAAAGTAACAATGCACTTTTCATTTTCTTTTTGTAGTCTACGTGACAAGAAGTAGGGTTTTCTCCTGGTCCTCCGGTTTCCTCTCACTGCTAAAGACCCCCTACACGCAAGCAAATTATTGAGATTAAATTGAACCATATGTTAGTCCTGAAACTCTGTCTCCTCTCCTCTCCTCTCTCTCTCTCTGTATAGTCTAGTTTATTGAACTTTACCTGACACAATCACTATCAAAATCTAATTCTGGATCTTCCAGTACTCCTAATACATATAACTAAAATAGATATCATATTAATATTAATAAATGTGAATTTCTTTGTAAAGGTATCTAGATATATTTCCATACAATCAAGGTTATTGGAATTATTTCTATTTATGTGTGTTCACAGAATGAGATTTCCTATTAATGATAAACTAGCTAGTGTTACCTGATATGCTAGAGCACATTTTCCAACAGCAAATTGTGCTGTATTAGTTCTATCTAAACAATCAACACAATTTGTTCTAACTACACCATTTTGACGACATCCGTTTTTAGACCAGGTTCCATTTATACCTTTTAGCCTAATATAATAACATCAGTTTAACAAAATAATTAATGAAGACTGATGATGTACACTGTTTAATGAAATTGGTTAGTGATTTGATTAAACATGGAGAGATTATCTCTTTTTATTTACAAAATGTAGATAATTTCTAGTTACAATAAGATAATAAAACGTCTGGAGGAGACAAAGCAACATTATAAGCAAATTTGGCATTGACATGCAAATTATGGTATTTAAAATCTCATATAATGAGTAGGTATTGAGAAAATCACAAATATAGATAAATAATCAAAAACAAAGAATACAATAGGTTTTTTAAAAAGTTTTTGCCGAAATGGCCGAAGTCCTAATTTATATCTTTGATTGCAAGGAAAAGCCAATGATCAAACTAGATTTGAAAAGTAAAGCTTACATTTTATCATTTTGAATACTACCCTGATGATCGGAGGGAAGTTGAAGATAAAAACCAGTCTGCCTAAGACAATATTTCGCTATTTTTTCCAATCTGACCAAGACATCAGCTGTTTTCCTACAAATAAACATAGATATAGCTTGTGTCAGGCTGCTATACACCCACCAGCTGCAAAGTAGTCTATGCTCAATCTAAAATAATTTTCAACAAATACCACAAAATGTGAAGATCAACTGTGCACTAGCAAAAACGGAAAAGTAACTTTATAAAATACCTTCCACATTTACATTCTGAAATTTGGAAATTCAATAGGGTTCTCCTTCATGCCACAATGAATAATAAATGTTTCAATTAAGAATTTTGACCTGTATCACAAATTGTTTTGAAATACACCACCATCAAATTGTTCATCCATGCTGTATCATGTTCACAAGCTTTAAAAGTTTTGATATGGTTTTCCTAATTACCAATTTAATAAACTTTTGAAGATATGAAATGGGGTTTAACATCATACTGTTCTGCACTGACAGGACTAAGGAAGACGGGCATACACCATGGAGTGTGCTATGTGGGAAATTTGGCCCTGACAGCTGCAGTACAGCTTAGTCTTTTTACCAATTCCAGCAAACTTTGAACGGACAGACGAACCTAGGTGTTGACAATATACCTCCTTATTAAATGCGGGCATATAAAAATACATTATGCATTATAAAATATGCCTGTATAAATTATTCCAACGTACATTTTCTATCAAGATACAATTAAGATTTTAAAGTATGATCATAAATATTTTGATAGTTTTAATGAATGTACAGTTTAAATCAAATCTATGTCAATTATCTGAATACTTGTATGGAAATTTTGGTAATGGGACATTGCACAATACAACATTAACAGATATCTTCATATCAACTAACCTTTTACTAACATGAGCCATATCAAATCCTATATATTGTATAACATGCTGTGGGGGGAGAAATTGATTCAGGTATTTTATAGTCTCCATTAATTCTTCTTTCAGTATACTTTCATGTCGTTTTTTCTCTCTTCTCTACAAATAAATATCAAATGACATATCATGATGTCTCTTCTTCTACTTCATATGTATTTTTATATTCTAATTTAACTTTTAATTTTCCATCTTTATTTAATATTTTTAACAGTAGCACTATATCCTACTTTGTAATATCATATAAAGAGCACCCGACTTTACTTTGATTAGATCTAATACTATCATAGGGGCACCCTACTTTACCTTGACTAGATTTAATACTATCATAGGAGCACCCTACTTTACCTTGAATAGATTTAATGGAGCACCCTACTTTACCTTGAATATATCATAGGAGCACACTACTTAACCTTGACTAGATTTAATACTATCATAGGAGCACCCTACTTAACCTTGAATAGATTTAATACTATCATAGGAGCACCCTACTTTACCTTGCCTAGACATACTACTATAGGAGCATCCTATTTTACCTCGACTAGATTTAATACTATCATAGGAGCACCCTACTTTATCTTGACTAGATTTAATACTATCATAGGGGCACCCTACTTTACACTGAATAGATTTAATAATAATATAGGAGCACTCTACTTTACCTTGACTAGATTTAATACTATCATAGGAGCACCCTAATTTACCTTGACTAGATTTAATACTATTATAGGAGCACCATATCTTTTTAATATCTGATTAAAATGTAAACCAGCAATATCAGCATAGGGATCTTTCTTGTCCACTGTAAAAGTTAAAGTATAATTATCATTCTTGATAATTGATTTCATTGTTCCATACTGTACTATGGTTGTCATTCTTTGCTTGATATAGGCGAGAGAACCTCATCAAAATGTCGCCAGAAATAAACTGCTAAATAACTTGTATTCCATACAATTGTGTCATGTGTTATATAAATTAATACGTTTGTAGTGGTTGATTTTTAGAGTCGTCTATTTTACATTACTCTGAATGGAAATGTGTTCTGTATTTATGTTTTTAAGCTTTCATTTTTAAAAAACAAATATTAGATTACATAAAATTGCTGGTTTAGGAACCATCTTTACAACATCTTGGGACCAGGATAAAGGTACAGATCCTCGTAACTGAGTAAATGATGTAATACATCCTCTATCTAAAAATGTTCTAGAACCATCATGTACTATCTGTTCTGTTTCTATTTCATTAGCAGCACAACCCTGTAATAAATATATAGATTAGATCAAATCTATGATGTTGTTAGGCACATGCAATCTGATTAAAACACAGATCCTATTTTGTTTCATTTTTTATAGTTCAAAATTTTGTTTTACTTGTCTACTCGCTAGGATTTGGAAGAGTTGTTATCATTGACATATTCTTGCTGATGTGAGGAATTAACCAATGAAACAGTCTGTTACAGCGAGCTTTTGGCATGAGGTGCACGGAACTGTGGGTAATCAACTGGAAACATCAATGTTCATTAGTTCAAAAAACGATTGTATGACCTCTGACCCGACCTCCAAAAACAACTGGCCAGATCTTCATGTAGTTTAGGCCATCGAAAGTATAAAAAAAAACGAAACAAAATCTAAATCTGTATTTTAATCAGATTGAGGCACATGGTACTTGTTTTTAATATAAAATGAGAAAAATCATCGTGCATTCAGACCACAAGACTTAAGGTAGCAATGAGGAGACAAATATTTGAGTCGAGGACAATGTGTTTGACAATAAAATTTATTTATATATATAGTTGCTAAATGTTGTCAAAACTGTATTTTATTCTTAAGCAATATTTTATTCTTAAACAATATTTTATTTTAAACACTATCTTATTTCATTTGAAATAATATTTACGAAAAAATCATCATTTAGATATTAAAGTACAAGAAATATTTATGATGTACATATTTACATAAATATATTATTTACCTCACAATTAGATCCTCTCTTTAAGAATCTAGTTCCTGCAAACTGATTTGACCTACGACCTATAAGCGTTATGTAGATTGGTTTCCCATAAACAGACATTTCTGTTTAATTATTAAGAAAGTAAAACATTGCTAAACACATTATTATATTGATAAAGACTATACTATTTCTGTTTTAACATTGACATCATAAACCCAAACATAGATGAGTGCTAATAAACACTCAAAAGAGAGTCGTAAAATAATTATAATAATAATAATAATGAGGTTTTATATAGCGTCTTTTCCACGGTGGGACGATTTACCCAATACTACCCAATACCACCCAAATACCACTCCAATATCACCACATACTACCCAATACTACAACATAATGTTGCGTAATGAACATATTACTTGATTTTTTTCAAAAATAGTGAGATATATCAAGGGAAATGTACTTCGAATGTGATTACCGATGCCTGGCTGTTCCATTTGCCTCCCTATATCACCCAACCCAAGCAAATAATAACCCAATACTACCAAATACTTATCAAATACTATGTAATACTACCCAATATTATAAAATACAACCCTAATATGGTCAATTAGCAGCACATCAGTATAATAATTGCAAAGAATATTCGATAATTTACAGAAAATTGAAATATTTACGCAGTTATCTCCCCTTACAACTGACAAATAGATTTTAGATTGCTACTCAAATTAATCATCTTGTTGGGCTTTGCAGTTTGTTTCCATGACGACGAAGTTAAAATAAGGAAAACAGGTTATTATAGATGCCTCCACTATAGTGTTATAAAATAAACAGCCAAACATCCAAATAAAAGAGTATTTTAGAGGTTGATTTAAAAATGTTCATTTAACGGTCTCGTGATTTATTCAAAAGTCTTCTTGTACTATAATTGTTTCTTCATACTGGTGATTTTAGTATAACACGCTCTCTACAAGTGCACTGGGTCCTGTAAAAAATCATTTAGGCATAATGTCAGGAAAGCACACAAATTTATCTTTATATCTGTCTTTTAATGACTTATTAACGCGTCTTCTTTGTCTTTTAAATGATTCGGGTTCCATACCAGGCGCCTTTGAAAAAAAACCTCTTTGTCAAAATTTCACTGATTCTTCGAATATTGTCACTATTGAACAAATTCTAAGTATTCTACGGTATATACCCACAGGTGACGATGTCGCGGCGATATCATTACCACCTAAATGAATACACACGGTCTCCAGTTTTCTCCCACAATGTGTAATGCTCTACTCATATATACATTCAACCTGACTTAACAATTAATCAACGGGGTTAAGATTGTTGATTAGGTAATCAAGTTCTCTTTTATTTATATTATCCAAGAAACCGACAGAGCTGTAACAGGCCGCAAATGATAGTTTTGATGAACTGAGATGTGTCGCGTCGAGAATTACACACTAGAAAGAAACATTTGCAATTTCTTTAATTTTAAAATAAAACATCGTGCAGTCAGTAAATACGCAATAACTTAATAGTTGACATGGGAAAATGAATATAAACATTATGCAATTGTTTTGTTAAAGCATTAATTTTAAAATAGATACAAACAATCGATACTAACTAGGTAATTTCGGGACTAACATATAGTTCAAATATCATTTCATTAACTCGCTTGCGTGAAGGGATGTTTTAACAGTGAGATGAAACCGGGGGACCCAAGAAAACCCACCAAGTGGTAAGAGACAGATGGGTCATTTTGGGAATAAAATATGGTATATCGTCATACCTGTTTTCTTATTTTAAGTTTGTCGTCTTGGAAACCAATTGCAAAGCCAAAGAAGATGATAAATCAGAGTAGCAATCTAAAATCTATTTACCGGTTGTAAAGGGAGATAACTGTTTAAAAATTTCAATTTTCTGCAAAATATCAAATATTCGTTGCAGTAATTATACTAATGTGCTGTTATTTGACAATATTAGGTTGTTATTTGATTATATTGGGTAGTATTTGGCAGTATTTGATGAGTATTTGGTAGTATTGGGTTATTATTGGCTTTTTTGGGGTGGTAGAGGGAGGTAAACTTAACAGCCAGATATCGGTATCGCATTTGAAGTACATTTCCCGCGATATAACTCTCTATTTTTGAAAAAAATCAAACGATATGTCTATTTTGCATCATTATGTTGTAGTATTGGGTAGTATGTGGTGGTATTGAGGTGGTTTTGGGTGGTACTGGGTAGTATTGGGTAAATCGTCCCACCCTCTTTTCCATGTTGACATATGCTTAAAACACTTCTAGTAATGGCTCTACTGGTAAAATTCTCGAAACAGGCTTTGTCTGTTGAGGACCAGCTGAACTGAAGGACCTATACCCATATGACTTTAAGTTATATCTTGGAACAACTAGTGACTGTTTGTTTTGAGAGTGAAGTGATCTAATTGGGTTGTAGTCATATAAGAGTTCAGATAAGTATTGAAGAGCTGTGTTATTGCGACATTTATACACTTATACACTAATGTTAGTATTTTGTATCTGATTCACGCCTCAGCAGGTTTCCAGTGTAACGAAGCTAACACATTCTGGATGTGATCAAACTAATGAGTCCTTGTCACTATTTAGGCTGCAGTATTAAGAATCTTGGCTAGAAGTGCTTGTGGGATTCCAGAGAGTAAACTATTACAATAATCAATCCTGGATAAAATCAATGATCTCACAAGTAGTTGACAAGTGTCAGCAGTGAGATAGTCTCTGATATTGCATATACAGTGATAGTAGCATGTACGTCATACCATATCAACCTGAGTTTCCATTGTCAGAGAAGGATCAAAATTAATATCACTCACACCAAGGTTTTTAACATTTTTGGAGAAATTTTTTTCTGAATCACCAATGATGATCTTAAGATCAGGTGGTAACTTTAGTTGTTGTGATGAGCCTTCTAAAAAAGATTTGGTTTTATTGTTGTCGTTCAATTTTAGTTTGTGTAGAGTACTTTTACAGCACAAGGGGAGTTAACTCTTGAACTTAATGGTGACAGGTGGATTCAGATCAGTAATCCTCTCATCAGTTGGTTGAAATTCGAAAAATATTCCCTCAAAAAACTCACTTTTCCACATGCTGTCCAGAAAATTAAATCATTTTTGCTTAAAAAACAGGAGGACTTAGACTAGCAAGAATCTCCTCCCCATAATGTTCACTTCCATGTTAAACCCATGCCATTCCTTTGCCTATAACGTTTTAACATTCCTGTAATCTTAATCTTTACAATCACAAAGAGTTTAACATTCAAGGAGTTGACCAGCTAATTTTTTTTCTATGTCTGGTCAAAGGAATCTTTAGGCTGTGATGTCATTTTCATATGCGATTTTCATACCTGATGTCTGTTTACATCCT